CGACCAACTCGCCGCCTCCCTTTCGGGTTCCACTCGAGGGCTTGTCTAGTGATGTCACTTGATGGTTTCCTCAGCGTATGGCCAATCCATCTCCATTTCTTTCTGCCTATTTGTTTCACAATCGGTTCCTGATTGGTTCGCTCCCAGAGATCCCTGTTGCTGATCTTTTCTGGCCATCTGATCTTGAGTATTGAGCGGAGACAGTTGTTAATGAAGGTTTGAAGTTTGTTTGAGATGCTCTTTATGACTCGCCAAGTCTCTGATCCGTATAGTAGCACTGACTTCACATTGGAGTTGAAAATCCGGATCTTATTTTTGATGCTGATTGCTGTTGACCTCCACACAGATTTGAGAGTAATGAAAGCTTGTCTTGCTTTTCCGATTCTGGCTTTGATGTCCTCGTCAGTTCCGCCTGTAGTTGAGACGATGCTTCCCAGGTAGGTGAAGGAGGTTGTTTCTTTCAGGTTCTTCCCATTTATGCTTATTGTGGTCTGTTGGTGTTGTTGATGTTGGCTAGGAATCTTCATTATCTCTGTTTTATCTATGTTCACGTGAAGTCCTATCTTTGATGCTTCTTCTGCCAACTTGTTACTTTTCACTTGCATATCTTCCAGTTTATGGGAAATCAGACATATATCATCGGCGAAATCCAGATCCTCCAAGTCTTTTGTGTCAGTCCATTTTATGCCTGTTCCCTCGTTGGTTGCCGTTGTCTGTCGCATTATCCAATCAATTGCAATCAGGAAGATCATTGGTGATAGTAGACAGCCTTGCCTCACTCCCGTCCTCACTTCGAAGGCTTCCGTAAGTTTCCCGTTGTGGATTACTTGGCATGCAGCATTGTCGTATAACTGTTGGATGAGGTGTATAATTGTCGATGGGACCCCGTAGTAGCGAAGTAGTTTCCAAATGACCTCTCGATCGACGCTGTCGAAGGCCTTTTCAAAGTCGATGAAGTTGAGATAGAGAGGTGACTGCCATTCCAAGCTTTGTTCAATGATGATCCGTAGAGTGGCGATTTGATCAATACATGATTTGTTTCTCCTGAATCCAGCCTGTTCCGGACGAAGTTTTTCATCTAGGGCTTGTTTGATTCTCTCCAGGATGATGCGACTTAGTATCTTGCTTGGAATGGACAGAAGCATAATTCCACGCCAGTTTTTACATTGACTTAAGTCTCCTTTCTTTGGAAGTTTGAATAAGTAACTGTTCTTCCAATCCTCGGGTACTTTGCCCTCTTTCCACACCTTCTCCAGCAGTGGTGTCATCAAGTCCGCTGTTGTCTCTGGGTCTATTTTCAAAGCCTCTGCTGGGATTCCATCTGGTCCCGGTGTTTTCCCAGCTTTAAGCATCTTGATTGCATTCAGGACTTCTGATTTCGTCGGGGGGTCAGTGTTCACTGGTAGTTCTGCTTCCGTTGTTGGTATTGCTGGACGTGTTGTAGGTGGCGGACGATTTAGAAGTCTTTTGAAGTGTTCAACCCAGTGCTTTCTCTGTTCCACCTCTTTGGTGATTGACTTTCCATTGTCGTCCTTTATTGGCTTAATCTGTGTCGAACGTTTGCCCGAAAGGTTCCTAGTTGTTTGGTAGAGTGTGGCGAGGTCTCCTTTGCCTGCAGCTTGTTCTGCTTCGTTTGCCATGGTTTCATAATATTTTCTTTTGTCTTCCCTGGCACTTTTCTTCACTCTTTTGTTCAGTGTATTGTAGCTTGCATTCAGCTCCTGTTTTTGTTGCTCGTCAGTGCACTGGATAATCTTTTGCTTCACTGTCCTTCTCTCTTCTATTAGTTTCCAAGTGTCCGTAGTGAGCCACTGTTTGTCCTGTCTCTTTTTTCTGCCTAGAATTTCTATGCAGGTTTGGCTCCACACCGTTTTCAAGTTGTTCCAGTGCTTTTCAACGCCGACCTTTTCGCTAGTGTTGATTTGTGTCTCGCTTTGTCCTTTATGCTTGCAATGAAGATGTCCTTTGTAGCCTGGTCCTTCAGCTTTTGAGTGTTGAACTTGGCTTGTGGTCTATCTGCAGCTCCTGATTCCCTGAAAGCTTTTAATTTGATTTGGATTGTCCCTTGTACGAGATAGTGGTCTGAGCCAACGTCTGCTCCTCTTCTTGCTTTTGTGTCCAGTAGGCTGCGCCTCCACTTCCTTGAGATTGAGATGAAGTCGATTTGGTTTTTGGTTTGCCCGTCTGGTGACACCCATGTAGCCTTGTGGATATCTTTGTGCTTGTATACACTGCCACCAATCACCAGTTCGTTGAAGGCGCAGAAGTCGGCGAAGAGTTCTCCGTTTTCATTCATTTCTCCTAGAGCTTCTCTACCCATGATGAGTTCCCTTCCCGTATTGTCTGGTCCCAGTTTGGCGTTCATGTCTCCCATTAGTATTTTCATGTCGCCAGCTGGAGTATTGTCCATTGTTGCCTGTAGTTGCCTGTAGAATTCTTCTTTCTTCTCGAGGTCTGCGTTGTTTGTGGGTGCATAACATTGTATGATTGACACAAAATCTCAGTACAGATACAAAATATTCATCTGACATTAATTAACTTTGACACCTGCAAGATAACTAGCCAACCATTAAAGGTCAAGTGCACTTCACATCTGACACATTGCCACGGAAATTAGAAAACATGGAAAGATTACAGGTTCTTCACCAAAAGCATCTTCATGTAGTTGCTCACATTCTATGCAGCGATATGTTAAGTAAAGCGTAATATTATGTAATGAAGGTGACTCAGTCGATGAGGTTGTGTATCTTCATTGGATCAAGTGACAAGAACATGCGTTACACATAAAAAGCCACCACTTTAATAAAAGAATGCTAACCAAAGCAAAACAAGACTGAAAAGGAGTTAAGCATGGTCAGGCCAAATTACGGCATAAATTTATAAAGTCGCTAACCGAACCACGTAGGTAGATGCAGATTGAATACTTGAGATGCTAAAAACCAAGGGCTGCAAACTAACAGTGGCATCATAGAATATCATTTAGTGTTGGAAGCGCATTCACTGCCCATTACAATCTCTGCTCTGAGTATCACTACTATTTCGTATACCTCTGTCTACTGCAATGTTACTACATTTCCGTCCTTTACCTGCATGCTTTTTCGAAGCGTAGCAACTTCGATTAATGCGCACCTAAGAGAAGCTTAACGATAGTTCTTATTTAGTTACTGCATCCATGGAATTCTAAGTTACGTGAATCGATCGTCTCAGTATTCTAAGGCTTGCATTCCAACAGTGCCAGTAAAGCCATGTTAATAATGAATGTGAACATGCTAAACGAGTTGATAGCGTATCAAGAAAATCCATAATACTATAAAACATAGTGTATAAATATCAGTTGGGGGAAAACTATACGGGAAATAAAAACCTATGTAACGACCATTTGGAACTAAGAAAAATAGTAAATTAGAAAGCTGTCTTTTTTTATAAGTTTAGACAGTGAAATGAAAAAGAAAGATTTTCAGGGACCCAGCATTAATTAGTGGCATTTATATTGAGCATTTTGGTCACATAAACTTGTGAAACTACTTGTATACAAATTAAAAGGTCACGTATCAATAGGAAATATAAGAAAAGTAATAGGTGTGAAAACAAGTAATCATCCGAATTGAGTTATCATGGGGACAAAACTAAGTCACTCATACCACGGTGTGTTGAAAATGAGCAAAAATTACTCTAAATGCATAAGGCGTTTAAGATTAAGATAGATAAAGAGATTTATAAGAACTGGGGAGGGGTGTTAGAAAAAGCCAACCTCAAAAATTTTACACCCTGACTCGCCTTGAAATGAACCGTAGTCACTGTTAAGGTCTTCGTAAAAACAAATCTAAAAATCAACTTAATCAGGCCGTGAGATCAGCCTCATGCAGTTGTCCCCTAGAATTAGCAGTCACGTAACACCGATGATTCTTCGGTTTCAGGATGAAATCAATTACGGTGTGATCAGCCTGGAAGGAATAATCAGCTACATCCCCATATAAAACGGATGTTTGCCAGCTGCATGGGAATGGGAATCATTTGCAGCGGTCTACAAAAACACTTCAGTTTCAACTGGATATCGAGAATGTTCCTATTTCTGAATGTTAACTACCGAACACAATAGAGTGATTTAGGTGCACAGTGAGGCATTTTGCATCTTCGGCTGCGATGACTAAGGCAACAAAACATGCTTTTATGACTGCCTATCTACACATTGGTGAAGCTAGGGTTATTTAACGTTTCTCTACTTGGTAAAATGCATTAAACATTTTTCTTAGGAGCTGGACTCTAGGTAGGTTCGAATGTTTGACGACTTTTGTCTCTAGATAAACTTGACTGGATATCGATTTTAACACATTTTTCTTGGCATAGTGCCCTCGTCTTGCATATTTTTGTGAACAATGATAAACGGTGAAGCTCTTATGCTTACTATTCCAGGAACCACCATTTTCCTTCCACTGACATTTTCTCAATTTTGGTAATTTTAAGATATACAAAGTTAGATCTAACAATGACGACAGCTACAATTGGTGAATTGACCAATGGTCTCACCAGTAGTGTGGATACTGCTTTTGTGAGATAATAAAAACATGAAGTATATACAATCGGGCCATTATTCTATACACTAGACAAATACGTGGCAAGATATATTAACCTAATGCGTTTTAGCTGATAATACCCTTGATGTGAGTTAAAGCCAGCTAGACACTCACACAAAAAGCTTCGGAGCTGTAAAGTATGTCAGCTATTAATCCCACTGAAATACATGTATTTGCAAATTGCTATCTAGCTTGTGACAAGATCCATCGGCCCAGAAAATGTTTTGGGAAGTGTGAATTCGCGATGCGCTGTGAGGAAAGCCTGATATCAAGTCTACCATCGAGTATCCAAATGGCTTTAACGAAGTGTAAAAATGTCAAATTACTTAAGAACAACATAATGGATTCAGTGAATGAGAACTCTTACAAGCACACTATTTAAAATTAAAAAGAAAAACATGTCTCCTAAGGATTTTATCTGCTTACCCAGTTCTTTGCAGGCAGCTTTAACTTCTTCAACATTACGAACTATGATGAATTTTGGAACTGGTATTTCGTACTTTTTCAGCAGTTCCATAGCCGTGTACTCATGAATTTTCAGATTTCTAGCACACTTCGCCTATTTAAAAGGAAATATAACTTTAGTAGAGAATTACATTTCGCAGCAATCTATTAGATTCGAAAACAAGCCTCCGAAACATATCCGCCGAAGTAGCGCAATCAATAAATAGCGCGGACAGGTTTTAACTAAGGTACAAGCTTTTGGTTAAGGTTAGGAGGCATATGTTAGTCTTTTTCCCGGTAGATGTTCGTGAGTGTATAAACAACTGGAAAATCACTAAACTGTTGTCCCAGGCACTACCAATTATATGACTCGGCACTGAGAATTAATCACTCGGTGGGGGAACGAACTAATGGTGACAGTGTGGTTCATCTTTCCATTTTCAGCTCTTCAGATAATTTACTCGAAGTGTTCCAACCCAGTGGAATGGGGCGAATACGACATATCAGTTCAGTAGTCATTTACTAAAATCCTGCACACAGTTACCTTCGCTGCAATTGTCTTTTTAATAACTCCTATGATCCAATGTGTATTTTCTTCATTATGATAAATGATTTTTTCCCATTTCCCAATGAATGAAAAACAAAACAATATTGTTTTTACTGACGTTGCGCTATGTATTGCTAATAGCCTTATCAAAGTATCATTAAACCAGAATTTACGATATCTCAGTTTATATATACAACAACGTAATCATCGTTTCTCAGCATGGGGTCATTTTAGGTTGTAATCTTTCTTGTCGACGGAAGGGTAGAGTATGACGACGAGTAAATTTGTCTATATTGCATATGTTGTTGTTTCTGTTGTAATTTATAGTTTCATTCAATCTCTGATGCTGAGGATCTGGTCACTAACACACAATAGCTTAGGTGAACAATGTGAAATTCGGATTTTCAGATTATTATCCGTTTGTGTACCACAAAAGTGGCTCGGTCAAAATGAGTAACCCTCATTTCGTCCAGCAGTCAGAACTGTCAAGAAAAAGTCCCTAAAGTTAATAATAGTCAGAGGAATAACACCCACGTTGCCAGGTGGAAAAATGGGCGTTGCATCAATATAAAACGACATTCTCAGCACACATTAAATTACGGTACTCAGTAACATAATACCAATAATATTCACCCTATTTTGAACGAGTTGTTGTTCTAGACCCATTATACAAACAAAACCAAAAGAAACGACTATGAAATCTGAAGTGAATAAAAGTAATTGTGCTGGTAACGTTAACGCACAAATGATTTCTATAAGTAGTGAGGTATCTAATTACAAATTGTAAGAAAGTATTTCGACGATTTGCCGGTGTTTCTCCTTATGGATGGGATTCACACTAGACTGGGTTCGCCTAATTTTTTACGTTTAGCCGTGTGAGCACAGTTTCCAATTATATTGCTTTTAGTTTCTCTTGAAAAAGTTAATAAGGAGCCGTCGGTATTATGAAAACTTGCTGTAGCCAGAAGACAACTCTCCGGAACTCAGAATACTAGTTTACGTACATAGTAACCGACTCGATTTCAACCTAAGCGTCATTTCAAGACAGTGGGTAAGTAGACAATTTACTTATCAAACAGGTATAGGCCAATACAGCAATTTAATTACATGATAGCCTGACCATGTGATTCACAGTTTATTACCATCGGTACACTGATCATACCGCTCCGGGCTCCTGTTAGCGAGCAAATCTCAAGGCCACACCGTGGATTGTTGCCTCCAGATTATGGGAAACTGGTTCGAATAGAAAAGTGTACTGAACATCCTCTCAGTGTTCACCCTCAATGATAGGGACAGTTTAAGTATTCATCAAGACTATTGCATTCGGTAATCCAAGTGTCTTTGGACAACAGCCTCAGTTGGATGGAAAGCATGCTTCTAATCTTGTCGACAGTCACCAAACTCTATATGTCCAGAAGAGGATGGGGTGGATTAGGCAAGAAGGATGAATGAAATACAAGACCCAGAAAATTACAGTGAAAGAGTATGAACTATACCAGAGATTGTCAGCTTCCATGTGCATTAGGCCGAACAAAGAAAACAAGTAGACGATCAATGAATATTAGAAGAAAGACTAATATCATTTATGGGTATATTCGACTTATTAAGTGCGATATTTCAACCGAAGTCACAACAGCCGTTAGATTAGAGTAGTCTGGCTCGCGAGAGAGACTGACTTATCACTCTCACTCGTACATTTAAGAACTTACTGTCAGACGCCAGTGTCACGCTTTTCACACTAGTTTCATTCTTTGGTAAATTAAATATTTCGCCGTTCATCACCTATCTTTGTGCACCAACTGGTGGCCACTTGATCTGGCCATCTCATTCTTTGCGTCAAGAGGCCATTTAACCACAAATCACAGGTTTGTAATATAATTATTTGGTGTTTGTTTAAAGACCAGTACAAGAAAAAGTGGCTTCCTTATGTCTCTTGAGTGCCTGACTCTTTCCATCACTCTAAAATAGTTCATTTAAGCCATATTTAATCTTGTTTTGACAGTCACATTGCGTCCATGAATCACGACCAACCCCACGCGCATTCTCAGAAGATTCGCAACCCTCTATTAAGAATTTTTTAAAGAATTTCGGAAGAAATCCTTCGCGGAGTAAAGGATCATGCTTCATGTGGAGCGATACCTCTTCAAATGACGCATTGTGAATTAATAATGTGTTACTTGAATATCTTGCGCAAGGACTATATACCTCGCAATAATGCAAGCTGTAAAAATCCTGCATGTTAGATATGCGCTTTTCATAGTGGTATGATTACGCAGTATCTTAAAAGTTTTGGTATTCAGCATGACTGTGCTTACAACCACTTAGTGTTTTGATTTGACCGTCACACTGAATTCTGCAAGTTCGCATTTTAAACTTCATGTTTCTGGTCGAAAGGCTGATGTTTCGGTGCATTCAATTCGACATCGTCCTCATGATCATCGACGCTGTTCTGCATTTTATCTACAAGAAACTAATGAATGTCAAACATTTTGCACAGACTAAGTGTCAAGGAACTTATCCCTAAGTTCCTATTGTTGCGAAGGCGCTCCGAACCGATGAATACTATGTAATTTCTTCGACTTTAACTCCAAAACACCAGTATTGTAAGAAGGAAGTTATACTGCTTAGCAACTAAAGTGGAGAACAGTACAAGTCTACAAACAAATTTTGATGTGGTTTTGCTCTCTGAGCTGGATGGTTAGTTTGCAAAGATTTCATCACCTTACTGGGTGACATCTTCAGCGCATATTCCAATTTGAAGTGTGCTCTGAAGATGTCACCCAGTAAGGTGATGAAATCTTCGCAAACTAACCATCCAGCTCAGAGAGCAAACCCACATCAAAATCATCCACCTGAGCTACAAATCTTCTCTATCATATCTACAAACAAATGTTGTATATAAATCCATTATATACTTTTATTTGTTTTTGGTCACCTTCGTCAAACTTGCACACGATCGAACCACTCGCGCCTTCGAGTTGCCCACCAATGGATACCAACTCTAAAATAACGTTCAAAGTTCACCCAATTTGACACTCCCTAGCAAATAACGGTCCATCAATTTATCCGTAGTGAAGATAACCATGAATTGAACTGCATATGCGAGAGCCTGATCCAAACGAGACTGGGCATAAATGCAAAAGAAAATAAGTAGAGACCAAAAATCCAAAAGCATACACACAGCACAATCACACACATCAATGACGACCTGAGCCTTCCAGTTAAAGGCATCCTCCTGACACCTTGCAACACAATTGCCACTTGCTAGAATGACTCCTACAGAATGCAACGTGACCATAGCAGCACCTCATGATACTCTTCACACATCCTCGTATCTACTCACAACCGATTATCACTTCAATCGCTTGTCACTCATTCTGCCTCAATTCTAGTAACGGTGACGCATGCAAACCTCAGTCGTCTACACTCTCGCTCCCCGGCGTGTGGGACCACAGCTAATCATTATCTCCGTGTGCATGTCATTCTCAGCAATAGCCTCCCCGGCGTATTCTACCCATCTGCTGTCTTTAACATCAATCAATTCATTCACGGATATAGAAGGCTGGAAACAACTTCAGAAGTAATCACGACGAAAATTTTAACGAAATTACTCAATAACAACAAGGTACGAAAAATACGAGTAAACACAATGAATCCAAAAAACACCAAAGGAAGAAATATATATTATTATTATATGACACACCACATGTATACACAAACAGTACAAATAACCTCGCGGATCATGTCTTGGAGGAATTCCTTTGAAGAATTGCAGGACTTACACCAGTACGCCTGCAACCCTTCACAGGTTGACGATTGTAAGTTGTAGAATGTCCGGACACAAACAAGATTAACCAACAATTACAATAATTGGAACTCACACAATTATTTGACACAAACATATGTACAATCAACACATCAAATGTTGTGGATTCTGGCATGACGAACTACCCTTGAAGAACTGTAGGACTTACAGCAGTGCGCTTACATTCCTTCTCAGGTTGATGATACAGGTGGAAGACGTCCAGACACAAACAAACTATCAACAGATAGATGAGAGATGATACCAACTCAGTATATACAGCATGAACATATGTACAAAATCACACACCAAGCACATTGGACTGCTCATTAATGCGCTACCCTTTGAAGAATTGTAGGACTTACGGCAGTACGCCCACAAACCTTCTCAGGTTGACGCCCTAGGTTGGGAAATCGTTGCGGAGTTCATTTTCTGACTTCCTTCTATCAGCTATATCCTCAAATCTGAACGGCAACACGCTCATGTCATTGTATCGTAGAATATAGATGACGAAGAAACATACGACGTATCTGGTCAACCAAGCGTAGGCACAGAGTAATTTACACCAAAGATAATAGCATTCAAATAGTAACTTGAAACTAGAAATGCCTTTATTCGTGCAAGTCAATTTAACAATTACTCTTTCGTTTACACTTGGCTTATTCTCACTAAACTGAGCAATATCTTTCGTCTTTTCAAATGCACCAATACTATCATAGTCAATGCACAAGATACTTGAGTTGATGGGCGTCCTTTTCATTGTGGATGACAACACCAACGACGACTGATTGATACCAGTTGATGAACCAAGCGGTGGATCAAAAGCTCGACTTTAAGAAATTTGTCTAACTGCAGGACTACCACCACTGCTGTATTTTACTTTCAGCTCCGGCTTAGCACTAGCATCTGATGATAGGTGGGCTACACGCTGATCCATTACACCGACGGTCTGACAAGTATGCATGCCTTCTGCAACTGCATCTGCATTTATTTCTACTTCACGTTGTAGTTGTACAGAACCTTTTTTCAACTTAGCAGTAGTAGGCATATCCCTCATCTCATCATGATCAACCAAAGATAAGAGTGCACTGTCATGATCATTATCACGAATATTCACTTCACCGTCGATTTCATCATTTTCAAACTATTTAATAAAAGCAGTAGACAAGTTGG